GTCTGCAAACGTGCATAGGACTGCGCCTTCTCAGTGGGTAAGGGGTGATGGAAATCCAGCCTAGTTGTGAAAGGTGAAATCCAGGCTAGCACAGCAGCCTTTAACTAGGTCACATTAGTAGCTGCCACCTCATAACTGTCCTTTCTTTCCGACCAAAGGAGAGTAACACTGCACTCTTAGAACCGTACAAAACGGTTTGCTTCCTTCCAGACCTGTGGACCTCCAAGACATTCATCTTTTACTCTAAAGTGTTAACACACGTACATACTTGCTCAGTTACACCAATCTTACTGGTCCTAACAGCTCTGAGCTGGTATTTTTCTTCTCCGGGGTCTACATTTTGTACATCTATATTTTTTTAGAACTAACTTCTTTGTTATTTTTATATGAAATCTTGCTGTATGCTGCCTTTAGGTAGATGAATAATGCATTAATATCTATGCTGCACTCTAATGGAAATCACATTGGTACAATTCTTTCGCCACTATCATTTGAAAAGAGTGATTAATTGAAAGGCATACAGATTAAATACTTCTCAGCCTGTTCCCCTAGCAACAATCACAGACTATTTTTCCTGACGCCCAGGTTTCTGCCTTGAGCTAAGTTTGCAAAGCACCCGAACAGAAATTGGCATAGTAGCTAATCAGCTTGTCATTCATCTCTAACATATTCCGGAAGGCAACGCTTACGAACTCTCACGTCGGTGTTGAGAAATGGCAAGTGACGGATCATCAGTGACCCTGGCTTCTTGTTAATTTTTATCATGAAATTGCTGAGCCGATGATGAGGATCTGAACATGATTCTGCCTGTGCGATGAGTCACCAGCTGAAGGAAAACAAGATTTTTGTTGTCGTCATTTATAGTTCTCTGAGAAATCTTTGTAGCTGGGCTGATCCTGAGGCTTTTAGCTTAGAAAAATGAAAAGTCCACATTGCTACAGCATGGTTGGCAAATGGCAAACGAGTTGTTTGTGGTGAGCCATGATGTTGTCAAGGACCGTGACTGTATGATTTTGACAGGTGCGACAAAGCACAGCCCAGAAAGAAAATAATCCATCAAATACTGGCCAGTAGTAAGGCCCAGGAGCTGACCTATTGATGTACTGCTCTTTGTAACACTGGCTGCTTTCACAACCTGAGTTCCCTCCGTTGTAAAATTAGGGGCAAACATCATCACCTCTTAACTGTGTCAATCAAAGAAACTAACAGGCCACATTTCAGACAGCGGCCATACTCCTCGAGCTTGGCACAAGAATGTGGAAGTTGTGGTGGGAAGACCGTTCTCCTGAAGACACCACACACTTTGGTCTGAGGAAAGACCACAGAAATGGCACTAGTTCTGACCTCAAAGCTTCCTCCACACTTCCTGGCTTTTGTAGTACCAGAAAGTGTTATTCAGGATGCTCAAGGAGAAAAGATATCAATGACATTATTCAGTTGTGAACGTAATAACCAGCCTAGTGAGGTAAATTTATTGGTACAATAGTGGTGGTGCAGATTGTGGAGGTAACCATCAGCTCTCTGTTTAAACTAAAAGCCTACTCCAGAGGAAGGAGCTCATAGTTTGTACTATAAACATGGCTGAGAACCCATGGATGAAAAATTCGCAGTCCCTAGGGGTGAGCCTAATACTATTATTTTGCTTAGTCTATATAATATCAAACTGTCTACCAAAAAAGTTATGTTTTTTTCCTTTTATTGAAAATAGATTCTTTGCTCACACAATAGATCCTGATTACAGCTTTCCCTCCTACCATTCCTCCCATCTCCTCCCTAAATCCCCTTCCATACCCTTTCATCCCCTCCCATCCCCTTCCATCCGAATCTACTCCCTTCTGTCTCACATTTTAGAAGAACAGGCTAAGAGATACCAGCAAAACAAATATAAGATAAAATAAAAGCCATCACATCGAAGTTGGGCAAGGCAAACAAACAGAAGGAAAAGAACCCTCAAGAGCAGGCACAAGAACCAGAGACCCACTTGTTCACACCCTCAGGAGCTCCGTAAACATACTAAAGTGGAAGGAAGCTGTAATATATGCACAGACCTTGGTGCAGACCTGAACAGATTAACGCTGAAGTCTCTGTGAGTTCACAGGCGCTTTCCCCAGGTGACTTAGCCTTGTTTTCCCAGTGGCCTCCATCCCGTCTGGCTTACACTCTGTCTGCCCTCCTCTTCTGCAGGGCTCAACTCTCAGCCTTGCTCAGGGAAGTTTCTTTTTACATTAGGTGGCAGCTAACTCAGAGAGTCACAACCGGCCAGAGCATAGAGAATCAGGGACTGTAGAGTCGTCAGCCTTAAATGAGACATCTATATTTTCACTCTTTCCCCCATGGCTCAGGGAACAACTAGAAAGAGGGTAAAGAAAGATCCTAAGAGCTGGAACTTAGGGAAGACTCCTAAGAAATAAACAATGTCTTCTGGACATGACAGAGTTGTCACACTCATGAACTCATGACAGCTCTGGATGCCTGCACAAGATCAAGCCAGTGAAGATTCCAGTGTGGATGCAGCAGAGGCTCACAAGGCCTCACCCCTGCAAAGGAGCTCTTAGCAGTTGACGGCGTTTTGATTTACACCAAGAAGTCCATGCTTCTGGCAGTTGATGTGTAATTTCACTTTCTACAGTGGATAAGACTTAGAGGTTGTATCTAATACAGATAAGAGTAATCACAGACAATTTTCTTAACACTTTTAAGTTTCAAATTCACAGACCATCCCTCATAAAAACCCATTATGTTCTGACGTTTGCCGTTCAACTGGAGCAGTCTTTTATGTTTTGAAGATTTTTTTTCCATATGCAGTGGGTGTGTTATTTTTTTATTTGTTTGTTTTAATTTTTTCTTTTTTTAAAATATTTTTTATTGGATATTTTATTTACATTTTGGATGTTATACCCTTTCCCCATTTCCACCCCCCTCCCCGACCCAGGAACCTCCTAACCCATCCCCCTTCCTCCTGCTTCTTTAATTTTTTGATCAGCTTTCACCTCCCCCAAGTCCTTCCAGATCCTCTCAACCTGCCCAACTCCAGTTTCTCTCTCTCTCTCTCTCTCTCTCTCTCTCTCTCTCTCTCTCTCTCTCTTTTTCTCTCTCTGTCTGTCTCTCTCTCTGTTTCTGTGTGTATGTGTGCTTTTCTCTCACACACAGAAACAAACAACATAAAAAAAAAGGAATATCAAGCAAACAACACAAAAAACAATAAGACAAAAAAAAAAAAAACCATGAAAAGAAATGGGACAGAAATCCCAGGGAGTTTGTTTGTATTGGCCAACTACTCCTGGACAAGCAGCCTGGTGTGTGGCACCCAGAGCACTTTGAATCCAAGGTATCCCCTCATGTCCTTTGTCCAGTGACTTCAGCTCTCTGAACTCCAGGTTTTCATTGAAAAAGCAAAGAAAGAAAAGAAAAGCACAGAGACTTGCTGACAAAATAAGTTACGGTGAGCAAATTGTTTAGCATATTTAAATGTGGCTCTCAAGAGGCTGTATCGATTTCCATAAGCAGGAACTACTCAACATCTAAACATTTAATCCCAGACTATACGGGGCCAATGCTTTATTGCTGGGTGTGGTGATGCCCACCTCTGATTCCAGAATATAGACTAAGCCAGGTAGACTGAGACAAGCCATCATGGGCCCAGTGAGTTACTGCCTGGTTATGAGACTCTAACTCATACATAAAACATACATACATACATGCATGCATGCATACATACATATGTGTGAATGTGTATGTATGTATATATGTATGCATGGATGTATGTGTATATATATATTCATTTTATCTTCTCATTGCAAACCTAACCAGGTTAAGATTCTTCAACCATTCTCATTACTGACAGGACCATGCTCCCAGGGTCTCTTTAGCGAGTATTCCATTGTGGCACGGCATCTTCAACCTGTAAGCATGCTGATTTAGAGGTGTCCCTGTATTTACGTATCTACTCCTCCCTGTTGTATGCATGTCGGCGGTACAAACAACTTTGTCATCTTTGACTAAACCCTGTACACAGGGCCACGCTTTCTGGGCTCTTTATACTTCTTGAAGGACGAAGCCAGTGATGAGTATGAGTTTCTTTCACCAGTGGGGGAAGAACGAAGCTAGACAGGAATTAGGTTGACTCCATGCCGAAGTGGATAAAAAAAAGAGTTGAAATGAATGTCATAACGTAACGAATGTAAAACAGGATATGCAATACCCGGCGCAAATTCACAGAAACGGTTGTGGAAATCATGCGAAGGCAAAGCACTGACAGCCTCCTCCTGTGTGGAGTCCAACGGCGTGGAGAGTGGGGGGGAGGCATGTAGAACAGGATCCAGCAAAACTTGAGGTCGAAAACATGGCTGGTAGCTCTCCCAAGTCATAGAGCAAGCAAGGTACCAAACAGGGAGACACCATCAGTATGTGATGTGTGCGCATGCTGGAGAGAACAGCAAACACTCGTTTGGCCATTGTGAAAACTTCGCTCGGAAAACTCCCAAAGAGAGCTTTTAAAAGCTCAGAAAGAAGGGATGAGTAGACAGTCAATGGGGCGGTAACGGAGCAGTGGTCAGAAAGAAACGAAAGCAGACATGGGGTGGAACAGATGTGAGGTTAGACCCAGGGAACCCTCCTCACTCCGAGGTAGTGATGGAGGAAGGTCAGCGTAAAGTTCAAACCAAACGGCTTTCCTCTCCATCGTGTTCTCCCACCTCAGCTGATAACAGCATGAGGAAGTTAAGGACTGTAAGTTACCAGAGCCAGCGATTCACATTCTTCCAGACGTTCACTGCTTGTCTACGATTGCAGCGTGGATGTGCATGCATTAAAACGATTTTCAAAACAGCTACAGTAAACACGTCACTATCAAAAAATCAAAGTCTAAGGATTAGATCATTTCTCTCTATTGCCCAATCCATAGTCATAGAAAAGAGAGAGAGAGGAGGAGGAGGACAAGGAAAAACTTCCAAAAGTTCTATTCCATCGAAAGTTTAACTGCCTGTTTTCTACCTTACTAGGTTCCCCAGGATGAATGGACAGGGTACACACCTCGCGGGAAAGACGACGAGATCCCGTGCCGGAGGATGCGCAGTGGTAGCTACATCAAAGCCATGGGGGATGAGGACAGCGGGGACTCGGACACGAGCCCCAAGCCATCTCCCAAGGTGGCTGCAAGAAGAGAAAGCTATCTTAAGGCCACTCAGCCATCCCTTACAGAGCTCACCACCCTCAAGTGAGTAATCCTCCCTCTGGGCTTTCCCTCTGCCCCTGGTGTTAGCACCTAGGATCTGACAGATAACAGGATGTAGTAAAAACAGTCACACCAGCGCAATGACTGAACGGCCTGTTGATTTTGACATTGAATTTGACTTGTAGATGCAGGTGTCATCAAAGACAGGGAAAATCTGGTGCACTCTTAATGCCCAAAAGCAATCAGGATGACTTTTGAAAAAAAATAATAAGGTTTATAGTCAATGAAAAGGTCCAGTATTCCATTCTGGAACTTTTTCTTCAGCCCCTAAGAGTTCATAGAAGTGAACTCTTCCTTTGAAGACTTGGATTTTTCAGGAAATTATATAACGTGAGGGCAATGGTTATATCAAAGAATTTTATAGAATGAGGTTGTGCTGGGAAACTGGGTAGTGCATGATAGTTCTCAGTATGCATGTTTGAATTTGGATTCCATACATATTACAGTTTGTAAGATCTTTAAAGTGTTTTTTGTTTGTTTATTTTGGGGGAAATGTGATTATAAGTGTTTACAGTTGTGCTATTTGGAGAAAAACAATTTTTTTTTTTGAGACAAGGTCTCACTATGTTGCCCTGGCTATCCTGATGCAACCTATGTAGTCCAGGCTAGCCCTGAGATCTGCCTGCCTCTGCCTCCTGAATGCTAGGATAAAAGGCATTGCTACCACACCTAGCCCTGACACTGACTATTTCAAACAAACCTGTTTTTTATATTGTTTTTTATAGAAAGTAAATCAGAGCCCTGGAATATAGATCTATTTGAGTCTAAAGGATATATTTTAGATAATTAGTGTTTTTAAAGTACTTTCTTTATAAAATGCATGTGACTAGTAATAGCTATGCACTTTAATTGGGTTACAGAGTGACATATTAAGAGGCAAATGAAACAGAAAAGGACAAAGCAGTTAGGTTAAAAATACAAATCAGAAACAAAAAATACAAATCAGATTATTGATCAAGAACATTGAAAAGCATCCATCTGATCTGTAACAAGAATTATTTAAATGGTGAAGGAAATAAAGAACTGGACAGGAAAATCTACTCTTGGATCCTTTTCAAGGGGACATATGGTATTGCTCTGAAATCTTTGAAATTGAAATTTAACATTTATATATTAGTTTCATAACCCACAGAGGGAAGCCATTCTCTCTCACCTCCCGTCCCTCTGTTCTCACTTTGCTTTGTGTGTTAGCTGATCTCAGAGCTATCTTCACGATCTTAACATAAACATCCAATTCATTGTTTCCTAGCATAGGAAATTAGAGTTGTGGGGCTGCACAGCTGCCCCAGCCTGCAGAGGTCACCCTTCCCCATCTCTTCCTGGACTCTGGATGAAGCCAGCAATACTTGGCATCCCTTGACTGACATTACATAAAGCTAGCTCGAAACGTCATGACACTAGGTGTAGCATTGGGGACCTCCTTAATTAGCCTTATGTTAACTTGATTAAATCCACAAGACCCTTATCTTTCTATAAGCATTCACAAATACTGGCTGTGTATCTATTTGGTAGTTATGATTTGATCTATAACATGACTATAGAATTTAAAAAGATAAAAACTATCCCTGTTGAACCTTAACACACCTACAAGACACTCAAAAAAATCAAGTAACGGACTGGTTTTATAAAATAGATAGTGGGCCAAGAAGTTGTGTAGCCAGAGACACGGGCAAATATATATATAATTTGTAGGGCTTAAAATATCTTTCTACAAGAGATAATACTTGTCACAGCCACAGTGTCAAAATAGACAAGTGCAGGCATCCAGAAGTTAAGACATGACATAAACCCTTCAAGCTTTTGAGATCACCTGAAATGAAGAGGTGAAGATGGGCAGCTTCTAGCATCCTCCATGCCTCCCCTCAGAGCATCCTGTCAGGATGCTGGACATGCTGGACACATAGCTGAGTGACACACTGGGTCTTAGGTGGTAGGGTACAATGATTTCTATTGCTCACAGCCGTTCACGGTTATGAAGTGAAGAGACAGGAGAAGGGCTATGAGGATCATGAAGAAAGTTCTGGAAAGGCTGGCACCAGACAGGTGCTGAAGTCAACGTTCACAGTTTCGCTCTTCCCGGAAAAACACCCTAGAAATTAATTCTCCTTTGCCTTCTGCATAATACTCCATCTCTAACTTCCTGGGCCATATCTAAACAACCACATTTATTTTTTTTGTTCTCTAGAAGTTTTAAGAGCATAGTAACTGGTCACATGTGTGTCCAACTTTGTGACATTGTGATAGGCTGTCATCTACAAAGTCTGTGGTTGGAAAATGTATCATTGAGTCACCAAAAAAATTAAAAAAACATAATGCTTTAGGTAAGTTGATGATTTTGATTGGGAGTGAACTCATTTGAGGTACGTGTAGTCTGTGAGCCACAGGTCAGACACTCTTGGAGGAGGACGGTCTACTTCAGTAAAATGCTCACATTGGATATGAGTAGGTGAGGGCTCTTTCTATCCTCCAAACTAATAGAAACTCAAAATGAAAACCAGATTACCCACAAATTAAAAAACATTTTTCATTACTAAGGACAGGGTTTCATGAAGCCATCTCTGTATCAACCCTGTTCATTGGCGGGCCAGAAAATGTCCAAGCAGTGTAGAATCATGCCTTTCTTCTCTGTGTGACCATGACATGACACAGAACTATTCCTGAGTCTGCTTGTCAGCATGCATTTCTCCCTGTCCTGTCTTGTGAATCCTAAGTCACCACAGTCTGCATATTACATTTCCGTCATCCTTAGTCACATGCAATCATCGACTGACATCTAGCTTAACCATGTTGAAGAATTAAAAGTCAAAAGTGTCATGACTTGGAATCAATCCTTCTTAGACCTTGATGATGTTTTGACTAGAGTCATGATTTTTCTAGAAGTTAGAAGCTTTCAACCCTCATGAGATAAAGATACCCAGATCCTGGAATTCTAGTCCCCAAAAAAAGAAAACTATATTTATGTTCCTACTTCTTTGACATTTAAGTCAATTTTTTTCCCTCCTTCCTCCTCAACAATTCAGAGCTTTGGGGATGAGTCATAGCCATGAGCCAAGACAACTAAAATTAGTCAAGTGGGACCGGGACAACATTTTGTCTGAGGCTTTCCACTCCCCTCTTCTCGAAGAAGCAGAGAGAACACTCCTACAGTCTTTTCTATTGTCTTCCTTTTTGTTTTCCATAAGCATCTTGAGAGTTTGTTTATTCATCAGCTATTTAATGTTAGTGGCTGAGGGCTGAGTCTTGGGCACACAAAGCCTAAGGCAGGTGAACATTCTGAATGATGGGAAGACTTGACAATGGAGTCCACCTTTGGGCTTGCAGGGCTCCTTAGTAACTCCTGTCTGAAAGCCTGTCTCCCTCATGCTCCTCTTCCTCCAGGCCCAGCTGATCCTTGACCTCATCACTACTGTCCCCTTCTTCTGTGCTCGGCTAATAGTGCATCTCAAATAACATCGGTCCCTAGAAAAGTATTATGTTTTCAGAGAAGCTTCTGAATATTCGATAATAAATTTTCAGGCAAGTCAGGGAGAGGTGTGGGAGCCAGAGTTTATTCCAAACATGTCCCACAGTTTAGCTCTGATGAAGAACATTGGTCTTTATTTCAACTCCTTATAATTTTGTTTGTTTTCAAAGCTAGACTATGAACTGATTGCCACAATGGTTGGTTATAATCAGGCCCAAGCTAGTCTTGAATTTATTTCACTCAAGTATACTATAGAAGGAATGTTCTAAAGTGATTCTAGGTGAACTGCCATTTAGAACATTCTAAAGTTGGGTTGGGTACAGTGGTACATGAATTTAATTCCAACAGCCTGGGACAGAAGCAGGTAGATCTCTGTGGGTTCAAGGCCAGCCTGATCTATGTAATGAGTTTCAGGCCAGCCAAGGCCACATCATGAGATCCTGTCTCAAGAAAATAATAACAATAATAATAATAATCATTCCCCTGGGTGGGAACTCCTAAAATCATTCGAATGGCCCCAACCTCTGTAATGGGACCAGTCAGGCTCTTAGCAGTTTAGATAGAGTATCTAACCTAGGACCTCAAGGGGGTTTGTGTCCAAACCTATATTTCAGGTGATTTATCCTCTTCATCTTCATTTATTTCCTAATTCCTCACTTGTTAAAAGATAAATTAACTACTCTTCTCATGTTGTGATCAAATAGGTGACAAAAAGCAACTCATGGGTAGAATAACTGGTTTTAGCTCACAGTTTGAGGGGGGCATGGTCTGTCCTAGTTAGGAGATACGGCCAAGTTCATAGCGGCTAGAATTCTTTCCATCTGGACAGTCCATAAAGCAGAGGTTTGTTGATGTTTGTGCTTAGCTGGCCCCGTTTATCTTCTGTTCAGAGTAGGAGCTCATTCCATGAGCTGGTACTACCCTAGACTTGCCGCCCACCGTGTTCCCCTCTGACAGCATCCTTATAGATATTCCCATAGGTGTTGCTCCAAGGTGATTCCAAGCCCAGTCAGGATGACGATGAAGGTGAGACACTAAGTGGCTCTTTCCTTTTGGCTAATGGCTCAATATCTCTGTATAAGTCAGACTTTCTGCACAAATGAGAGCTCTAAGCTATGGTTGTAAGACCTAGGCTGTGGCAGCCAGCATTAACAGATCCCAACATTGATAGATGAGCAGCCAGTAATAGCAGATCCCAGCACTGATAGATGAGCATGCAGCATTAGCAGATCCCAGCACTGATAGATGAACATTAGACTCCCTTATCTTGGACTCATTGACCCTTGTTGTCTGTGGATGTCATTGTTCATCTACATGAAAGATCCTTGAGGAACTTCTTGACACTGATGAAGAAAATGTAGAGATAAAATACAGAGGAAAAAAAGGTTATTCACTATTTAAAGACAAGAGGAAACAGTATTGGCAAGTAAAACGTTTTGAGAAATGCCTAAAGTTAAATCAACTCTAAAATGAATGTCTATATCAAGAACATAAAAAACTTGTTGGTCTTTGCAGAAGT